TATAGATAATGAAAGACAGATATACGAACAGACTAAGATAGATAGATAGAATGATAGATAGATAGATAGGATTAAATTTGAGAGATAGATAGATAGATAGATAGATAGATAGATAGATAGATAGAAATAGACAATGAAAAAACATATAAAAGAGAATAAAATAAATATAGATAATGAAAGACAGATATATGAACAGACTAAGATAGATAGCTAGCTAGCTAGCTAGCTAGATAGATAGATAGATAGCTAGATAGATAGATAGATAGATAAAAATAGACAATTTTAGACTTATGAACAGACTAAGCTAGCTATATTTATCAACGCCAAAACAACAGCAAATTCAACAATACCAATAATAATACTACTAGTAAATTTGTGGTTGGCATATTTGGGACTATTTCCCATGAATCTTTCTGCTTCGCAGGACGACTTGGGGATAAATGGCATCACTGGGAGCTCGCATGTGGCAGCACTGTTTCGAACAGTTCATGTGATGAGGGAAGTGTTGTTCTCTAAGCTACGTGTAGGTACCGAGATAAGATTAGCGTCAGCCGACCGAGACATCTAAGCGTCGGAGGAGACGATCTCAAATAATAATAATCTACATTTCTTTAAATGGATATACACATATCGTGTGCGATGGATAAATTTTCATGTAAATTAGGCAAAAATTTCAAATAACACTGACATCTCATTTTAACAGATTAAATATATACCAAAATTAAGCAAAAATATCTTGAAATACTAAAGAGTAAATTTATTAAGTAAAATCGCCATTGTCTTCAACCACGGCCTTCCAGACCACTTCAGAATCTCCTGCAACTCTGCTGGACGGTCTCCTTGTTTAAGTTGAATGCTGCCATAATACTTGCCTTCACTTCATCATTGGTTTTACAAGGAGTTTTGTTTGTCTCTCGCTTAACTGCGCCCTAGACATAATAATCAAGGACGTTGCCGTCTGGGGGGTTAGGTGGCCAGATGTAAGGGCTGATGTGGTCACAGAAATTGTCCGACAGCCTGGACTGGATTGTCCTGCTTGTGTGGCATAGTGCAGAGTCCTGTAGCCATATAGAGGGTCTTCCAGCAGCTACCATCTTCACCCAGGGCAGTAGTAACCCCTCAAAGCATTTGATGTAGGCATCCGTGTTGAGTCTGAAAACCTCATCAACAAATTCTAAAGTCCTTTTCTTATCAAAACGATCATAGCAAGTTTTCCAAGCTACCGTACCTTCGTAATCAGCATTAGACTCATCCAACTCTTTCATCTGAACTGTCCTTAGATTGACACCCAAACACTCTGAAATGTTCGTATTGGAGCTTCCAGCGCGTATACCAAGCAGCACAGCATGCCGTTTCCAAAATTCTAGCGGAGTGAATTGCGTCATGTTACTCTTTTTCTCAAAGACAGTGACTACCTGAACCTACTATATACTGTGCATTCGGTAAAATAAAAAACAAAGCGCATGCGCGAAATTAAAAATATAAAATGGCGATAATTTACCCATCTCAACCTGTATATATATAGACACGCGTTTACTGATATGGTTTGTTTCACTAAAATGATATTGAATGGCTTTTTGCAATATCGGTGATACTAATGCCGTCCAAATTATAGCATTTGTATATTTAGAAGATATTTCTGTAGTCTTTTCCTTTTATTTGAAACAATTCAGAAATCACGGAGAAAACAGATTGTAAGCTTTTAGTGTTTAATTTTTCTGGTGAATAAATGTCAATATTTATGCATTCTTTCAAATTCTTCTTTTCATAGTTGATATAGATGCTACTATAGACATAACGTTTCTACCAAGTACCTTCTGGTCATCATCAGGTGTCCATCGTTTGGTTGATATGGTATATATGTTGATTAATGTGATATTTTTGTCCCTGTGATGCCAATTATTGTTTGGTTCTGCTAAACCAATGCTTCAGTTTGGTTTGTTTTACTGCTCAACCTCAATCGGTTATTTAATACCGACAAGATTTTTATTGCTGGTAATATTTTTGTTCAAAAATGTATTGCTGGTAATATCTTTTTCTTCCAAAAATGTATTGCTGGTAATATCTTTTTCCTCCAAAAATGTATTGCTGGTAATATCTTTTTCCTCCAAAAATGTATGCTAACTTTTTTCTCTAAAAATGTATTGTTGGTACTAAAACCTATTTTTACACTTTCATAGGATTTTGACCCCAGTTTGTGTTGGTTAACTATTCGTCCATAGTACCCTAGTAGGTGCTACCACCCCGAATCAGAGTAAAATAGGGAACACCAGCAATTAAGAAGTGGTTCCACACTTCTCAAAACCTCCTGATCATAGACCGTACTGTCGGATGTAGTTTAACGTCTTACCCTGGACGCCTGATGTATTTTATCGTCTTACCCTGGACGCCTAGTGCTTCACTACGTGATTCAAATATTGAATTCACAATCACCAGATGACAATAACACTTGTATAATCATCCTGCATACACTACATCATTACCCTATTAGTGTTGTATTTTGGGATCCTTTTATGATAGGTGAAAAATCTGTCATTGTCTATTGAAGACACTTCAATTGGTGCCATTTTTTTGGCGAGCTAATATAGGAGGACCATTACCCATGGGGAGTCCTATATCTTTGGCATTTAGCCAAATCAAGCTAAAACTAAGTAATTAACATTTTATATAAGAAATCACAGTAACTTTACTCAAATATTCCTTAAAATTTTGCGAATATTCTTCTTTTAAATGTCATGTCTTTTCAAGACGGTTCTTGAAATATTCTGATGTTGATTTGATTTCTTTAGCATCGTCCTTTTTTCTTGTTCTGTAGTCAGTTACACTTAATCTTGTAAAGCAGATTACTCACTGTTTTCCGCTACTTCTATTGCTTTCAGTATGCCATGTGTGTGTTAAATCCTCCAAGTTTTCTTTCCTCGTTATATGGCACAGAAATATAAACTAAATATAAAATGAATTCCAATACAAGTTTTCATCTTGTTCCTATTTACCTTAAAAGATTCCCCTTGCTCACATCTTTTGTAAGTGGAATTCTTTCTTGCTTCAAATCTCTTCTTCTTCTGTAAGGAGACTGGCTTAACATTACCTGCTACATATCAAACTATAAATAAAAAACCCATCGTATTAGTAAAACATCTCTATTGATATATTTCCTCATTATAATATTTCACTTTGTGGATGACATAATCTCATCTGTTTGTTCAAATGGTAATCCCTCATGCATAACAATTTTGAAAATTCGATGCAAAGAAATATTTAATGTCAGTTTAAAACTTTAAAAATTAATAGATGTTTTAATTCTAAAACCGAAAAGATTGATTTCTTTGTTTAACAGCAGATCGACTGTTTATTGGTCATCTAATGCCGAAGTTATATTTTCATGTGAGCTTTGAATTAATAAAAATATTATATATCTTATTCTGCTTTCACAATTGAATACATGGTAGATGATACTCAGCTTTAGTGCATATATATTTTTGTGTGGACATAGTTACCGGAGGCGATGATATATGTGTGTTTTATGTTGTAGTTCTTTGATGTTATATTTTGGTATACAATTTGATTTCTTTAAGGAATTGTATTATATTATATGGATTCATGTCATGAAAGAGTTCTTTCATGATGATTGGTTGAATTTATTTAACAGGATATCGAACTCTAAGTGTTATTTAATGCCGATATCTAGATATTTTAGACACTATTCTATGGCTTCAACTAAATATACTTCGAACTCAATTGTATGACTTCAACTACAGATAAAATGCATTGTTGGTCATTTTTCTATAAAATGCATTGTTGGTAATTCTACAGTAAAATGTATTATTGGTCATTTTGCTTTAAAATTCAATTGTTGGTAATTTTAATATAAATATATATTGCTGGTATTTTACTATAAAAATATATTTTTATACTTTCATAGTGTTTAATTTTTTTGAGCTTCAATATTTGCCCATAGCTAGGCTCCTAACAGATGCTATCTCCCGGGTCTGGAAAAAGAGCAATTAAGTGGTGGTTCTATGCTTCTCAAAACATCCAATCTCTCGTCCTGTTGGATGTAGTATATCATCATACCCACGACTATAAAAGATGATAGTCAGATGAAGCCAAGCCAAGAGAGTAAGGAGGATGAAGCGAAACTACCATATTTAGTGCCATAATCATTTTCCGCGTTACTCCGTTTATGTTTGATCTTGCTTTATCATGTAAGAGCATCATGTATACATGATTAAATAGCAATAGACGATTTTTCTGTAAATCTTCGTGAAATACTTGCAATTGCTGGCATTGGATCACCGCGTTAACTGTTTCCCTTTAGCTTAGCAGTTCAAGAAACACGACTTTTTCCTTTCCCAGAAAACAGAGTTTTTTTCCGAGTGTAGGACTTCTTTTAGGGTGTATTTTCACTTTCAAGTGGATATTAACCATTGCCGTCTTCATTGGATGTGATTATACGGGAATCCATTATTCATCACTGGTGGTTATTCTATGCAGGAAAGGTTCGGTAGCAAGACTCTTTTGATATGACGAACAGAGGGCAGCCTTTTGGTTAAGCTGAGAAGCATTCAGTCGATACGAAATCCATTGATTAATTTCATACACTTTGCGGAGTTCATGAAAGTGTTTTATGGTCGAAGTAAGACTGAACAGTTACGCTAATACACGAGTAGTGTGCTGAGGATTTTCCTCAACTCCGGTTTGTAGAAGTTCAATATTGAGAAAGCATGATCCTTTAAACCGTCTAGAATGAGAGACAAATTTCCCAATTTAAACTGTTCTATCCATCGTTGGAAATGTCCGGCTACTTACAGCTTCATTTCCATAAAAAGGACGAATCATTTCCCCCCTGTTTTTGAACCCTATTTGAAGTCATGCAAAATCTGATACGAGTTTGATTTAAACTAATTTTAAAAGGCTAATGTATGTATAGCTGGCCACTCGTATTCGACGATACCCGTCTACTAGAGTGGCCAGCCAATCCCTATTGAAGACGCTTGCTCATTCAACACCCACAGATCCCACCTATGTTGAGCAGACCGTAGTTACAGTTTCTGGGAAAGAGCATCTTATCTAGCATGATCAACAATTTGAACAGGGCCAGCACGCTCAAGCCCTCGGCCACGATGACTTGTGACTTCGTGCTAGCACAGCTATCGACGGTACCCAAGTGTTCCGTCTACCCAATTACATTCACAAGGTTTGGATCAACCCGTGGTATGGTTTCCAGGCACTTTCCAAATGTGCCGCATGCTAGGATCGACCCTTCCAGTCCGATAACATCAGGAAGTCGCCTTCCTGACAAATCGACCATGGTGAGATTCGAACACGGGTCTCCTGTTTAAAATATGAACGTTCTAACCATTTGGCCAAGTGCCCATTAAAATACTAATACGGATACCAATTTACCCACTATACTATTAGGTAATCTGCAACAAAACCAAAAACCTTAGAATGCAAATATTAATAGATATCTCATCGTAAGTATTGAAAAATTCTTTGAAAGAGATCATTTAAAAGATATGACAGGAGTTTCTTTCCAACTTAATAAGTTGGACCTTTGGTGAGAAGATGGTAAAGTCCAGTTGTCTATTTTATAGTTTCAAACTCAGACGAAAATCTCGAATATTACGGTATCGTGATCGAGGGATTTATTCACTCAGATATCGTCGTATGCAGTTGTCGTGTAATGTATGTGAACAACCAATATCATAAAATACGTATATACATATATCCTTTTATCCCTTTTGTTTTGCACGCCTAATAACTATTTTGTGACTTTGTTCTTCACTGTGTGCAGGGGAGGTTGTAACCTGAAACCTGTTTCGTATCGGAACCTGATAATGGCAAAGTTTAGTAACATTCAGTTTGTCTGTCTATATATTAGAAAAAAACATTTCAATTGCTTTTTTTTTTTAATGAAGTTCACCCCTAGCAAGGCAGTAAAGCCACTAAGACACTGGGTCTGGAAGAGTTAGAAAAAACTTATTAAGGATCAAGGCCGAAAGAAGAGTAACCAGGAGGAGAGTAGGTAGCGACGGACATTGCATGTAAATTTTTGAAGATGAATGTTAGCTGGAAAAGCATAGAGCCGAAATGGAACGGAACTTCTTGTCGACCTCTCTACCTTCGGGCGGAGGGGAACCCAGACGAGGCTATGTCGAAAGGCAGAGTCTCGTCTAGGGAGGTAGACAGACATCCGACACCGTGTATGCGGGGTCTACGGGGAATTTGGGGTCGAGTGTACGAGCTCGAAATGCCCCACGTTAAAACCGGGCTTGTGCCACATCCTGCCTTGTGGGAAGGCTTCGGGTGAATATAAAAGCAGAGACCCGGAAGGGAGTTTCACAAGCGAGAAGAAACTGTTAGTATAGAATTTACAGTTAAATCTAGCCAATTCAACTGTTAGTTGGTGAGACCTCATCGCCAATCAAGTATTGTGATTAAATTCAAAAGGTCTACACTCCATAGCGAAGAGATCATCCAAACAATTACAATGAAAGTATTTGAAGAAATGGTAAAGGAAGGAAACTACACAGCGCTGGGAATGTAACTGAAGTCGAACCGCCAGATCAGTAATCAGCTATGATATCTAGTTAAGCGGCTAAAGAAGAATGAGTACTAATGAAAGAAAAGACGCCAGCATTCTTTTGGGAAGTGCAAGAAAGAAATGAAAAATAAACAAAGAACTATGCATGTGTAAAATAAATAAACATTCTACTGAAAAAAAAAGCAACAGATTTTTGAAAATGAGAAAACTTTCCCCCATATGAACAGGCTTTGTTTAATTAAGTTGCACTGTTCAAATAATGATTACATTGCCCTCTTCAGATAAAGATGTTATCATCCCATGCCTTTTGTTTTTTATATTCGCCCTTCAAGCATCTTATAATTGTGCGAGAGAAAATGTACGATATTCATAAAACTACTTGAGTGATGCTAAATAGCTATGGAGACATGATTAATTAAATGAACACCTCTTCTTAAATAACGAGTCTTCCTTCAACAAACGAAATAATAAAGAAATATGGACCTTCATCATCATCATCATCATCATCAGTTCCATGAATGGGTGTGGTTGTAGGGTCGCTGTGCAACGGATCACCTGAAAAATCCCCTCCACATATTGGGCTGAAGGCTGGAGACGTATTATTGAATATTTCGTGGCAGTTGTTCTCATGAGCTTTTCTCTTTGGTAACTCGACTTAGTGAATTTACTAAGTACAAGATTGGTACAAGATTAGTACAAGATTGGTACTAAGGTCTTATCATTTTACAGCTAACATTGCTAAATGTAAATGTAAGTTCTATTTTAATTTTCTCTCAAAACTAGCTTGTGGAACTTGTGATTGTGGTGAGCAAGTTACGCGACATCATGCCCGAAAACGTCCACGCAATGCATGCGTATGGTGTTGCAGAGCAGTTGGAGGAAGGGAGAATTGGCGGATTGCGCCTACGCATAGGTAAATCTCTCCCACTCAACCAATCGGCTGCTTTGTCATGGTCTATAGAATGAGTGTGCCTGAAGGCTTTGGAAGTCAGGGTCGAGCTGGGCTCTTTCCCAGCTGCGCTAATCGAACTCTCTGCCCAAAGAGGCTATGCCGAAGGGCAAAGTTTCGTCCGGGGTGATAGACAGACCCGATCCCGTTTATGCGGGGTCTACGGGGATTTTTTGGCCGAGCCTACAATTGCAGTAATGAAAGCTTAGGAATCCAAAATTTTAGGATTGTGGGTCCGGATCCGGTCCGTAATATTTTTAATTTGATCACGAAATTGGCCTGATTCCAAAATGATATGATATGTTGGGATATGGCCACTAGGAGTAAAGTTGAAAAAGTGTGACACACTGACATTCGCATTTATTATATAGATTAGACATTTAAAGATTCTTAATGCCACATGTGACTGCGTGGGGCAGTTACTAAATAGCGTCGGGGTCGAGTGAGCCGACGAGGACGACGAGAGACAACTACCCTGTACAAGAGACGACTGCCCTGTTCCAGCGTGTCCTTTTTAGCGTGACGGCTACAGAACATTCTTTTAGCTTTCCCGTCACAAACAATCTATAGAATACACCTTCAGTCGTTACCTTCTCTTTCCTGTTCCTTTTATTGTCCTTTCTCCTCAGTAACGTTTTCTTAGTTTCATTCACTCTGTCTTTCATCGTCAGAAAGACATTGCATCTTAGTGGCTTTATTGCCTTGTTTGGGATGAAATGATTAAAAAGAAACAAAGAAACTTTGTTTAACTACACTGCTCTACTAACGTCTGTGATGAAGATACCATATTTGCGTTCTAGAATTTGTTGATTTTTGTTGCATTTACTTTATAACTGAAGTAGATCCATTATTTTCCTTGATTTCAGAAAAAAAGTATTATTCTTGGGTTGTTAAAATTTAACAGATGGACTCCAATTGATTTCTAAATTGTTGTTGCTTCCTTTACAGTGACTTACGATATTCAATCATTCAAATTTCTGGGATCTTCTGATAAAAAAGCATTGTGAATCAAACGTGCTGTCATTTCGTTAGATTTTCTTCGTAGATTAAGAAATCCTCAATAGATATATCGTGATTAGTCTTGTAAAAATAATGCTCCCTGATGGCATTTCCTTCTATAATAACGAGTAAATATTCTCACAAAAATTGTCATAATCGCGTCAAAGGGCTTGAACTCGTTTTGCATCATTGATTTCAAACGATATTTCAAAGGGAATTTTTCAACCAAAGAGAAGACAATTCTGTTATCGAGGCTATGATTTTCGTCCGAGATTTCGTGGCAATGTTTTCATTAATAAACCAATTAGAAACATGAGAGGTGCAATTTTGAAGACCTAAAAGAAAATAATATCTTGTTTTAGAGAAAAATGAAAGAAATGACACCAACTCTTCGAAATTACACCGCGCTTGAACGAGAGAAATATAGATTACACGCTATCAGATTTAATGATGCAAGTAAATGTCTACAGAATAAAATTAGTTTTAGCCGATGAATGTTGGTAAAAAGTTAGAGATTATATATATATATATATATATATATATATATATATATATATATATATATATATATATATATATGTATGTATACTTTATTACTTTATTTTAGGATATTAAATCAAAAACGTGTAAAACAACGCTACACAAATGTAATCATATTTCGATGCCTATTAACACATCTCATCAAGTGTTAGTAAAAAGAAACGCTAAAAAATACGTTAAAACATTCCCATCACAAAGTCGTTAAATAACATACCCATCACAAACTGTTTTGGTTTTACATGTTTTTGATGTAATATCCAAAAATAAAGAATATTGCTCTACTTTCGTATTGAGCCCTCTTTTAAATTGAATGTTACGATCATCGGAATTTAACTGTATTCTTTCTCATTATATATATATATATATATATATATATATATATATATATATATATTGAAACATGTTTCATTGAATAATTTAGACAAGTTTTGTCTACTCATTTTCAATTGGATCCTTTCATATTCACGAACAGGTTTTTGGTGTCATTATTAAAGGAAGAGAGAAAATTGCTGTGATGATACATATTACTTTATTCAGAGTATTTTCGACATAAAGCAATGACATCATCAGGGTGTTGTTTATTTCAAATATTGTATTTGTTTGTCTTGATTAGCACTCCTTCATCGAATTTGAATTTTCTAATAATGATTTGCTTGACAATTCCAGCCCATATCATCACACTGCTGCCTCCTTGCTGCCTTTCTTTGGTCACAGGCACATCTGCATTGGATAAAACCCCACACTTTAACCCATCATCATGTCCGTCGAGTATCACCTGAAATTCGTCCAAGAAAAGTACTTTAGAAAAGCCAATTTTAATGTAATTCTTGGGCCAATTTTGAGACTTTAAAATATTTACTGAGCGGAATTTACCTCGGAGATTTCTTGAGAGATACCAATTTGAGAAGTATTCTACATCTTACGTTCTTTTTCACTCTCCCAATTCGAGCCTGTTAAAAGAGCTGAACACTGGACAAAAGTAGTTGTTTCTCTATAACTAGCTTTAGCTGACGTTTCCCTCGGGTTCTTAAAATCATTTTCCTCTTGCTCTCAACTTAATTATATTTTCAGCAGCCCTCTTTAACATACGACGATCTCTACGAAGCTCCTTTGTTATCTCTAATGTGGACATTCCCTCACTCAATAACTTTGTTATTTTCTGTCTTTCAGCATTAGTTGGACCATTTCCATAACCCATGTTTCAGCATATATTAGAGAAACAATTATTAAATTTCAGAGGCCTTAAAGCAGTGGTTCCCAACCGATTTGGGGCCATGACCCACTTTGGTATTTCTAAAATTCTGGTGCCCCACTGTAATATTTAATTCTTACACATTCAGAATTTTACAGCAATTAACGAGAAGGAAACTTAAAAGGCCATTAAATTGGTCTCTAAATACGCTTCCAAAGACCATGGCGTCCATGAAAGAGAACAACTAAAACAACAAAAGGACAGTTGAATATATATAATTTCAAAACATATAATAGAGAACAGAAATATAAAATATTTGAATGAAATGTTATTCTGTAATATACTTTGATTATTTTAAGCATGAAATATTAATGCAAAACGAAATTTGAGCTCAATAGAAAACAATTCACTGTTAATAACTCATTCTCCAATTTCCCCCTTATTCTGTTAGTATAGAAAGCCGAAGAGTGCACATTCTACGCATACCACACCAAAATATTACCATGCTCCATCGGTGAGCATGCGCCCCACATTGGGAATCATTGTCTTAAACTAATATAAATTTAATCTGCATAATAACTCCAGACTGCAGTTTTTATAATAAATCCAATAATAAAATGTGTCGAAACGACCTAAAAATAACTTAAGCCTTGTTTTGATGTCTAAATTTACTGTTTAAAATTTGACAAAAATTTTTCAAAGCAAGTTAGAGTTACTGAGGTTTACGTAATTTGCATAAGTTCAGACGGTCTGTAGACCATCTTGCATAAAGCCTTTTTTTTTCTTTTTACTTTTAATACTGAAGTATTATGTAAATGGACAAGTTACAATTGATACTATTGTCTACGCTATCTGAGTAAACATTGGCCTCTCAGATACCTCAATATCTCATTTAAATCATTCTTTTTTTTTTTACTTATAATATTTCAGACGTAAAGAAAAGGCTTCTAGTTCTTAACTTAGTTATATTTTCAACAGCCCTCTTTATCATTTTATGATCTGCGCGAAGCACATTTGATGTCTCTGGTGGACATTTCCTCAGTCTTTTATTTCCTGTTTTTCAACATATTTTATAACTATTCCATTAACCATGTTTCATCATATAATATGGAAAAGTGAAAAATAGTTTTTATTAGATTTCATAGGCTTTAAACTAATATTAGTTTAATCTGCTTAACAATATCAGACTACATTTTTATGTTAAATACAATAATTTCAATAAAACATCTTGGAAACTACCTAAGAATTTAACTGGAACTTTGTTTTGAAGTCTTAATAAATCGTTTAAAATTTTATTTAAATTTTTCGGAACAAATTCAATTTATTAGGGTTTATGGGATTTCGAATGGGAGAGCCGAGTTCGAATTCCAGTCGAATCCATTACATTCACTAACGTGCTAATACCCTTGTGAAAAGTATGAATTCTCGTCTTTTCCCCCCAACTATGGGTAAATAGCAGAACAGACCAGATTCTATAGCTTTAGATGGCAGCTGGTCTGCCGCAGAGAGAAATGGCAACATATTTCGGGGGAAAATGTGCCTCGTCGGTCATATATCGAAAGATAAATGATCGCCTAACTGTTTATTACGCATGGCACATAACTGACTGATAATAACTTCAGACGAACTGCAGAGTCAACCTTTATCTATACCAAATAACGCCATAATCTGGACTTCTTACCTTCTCCTGTAACGTCTATAAAACAAGCTCATTCATTGACCCTATAACTTGAGTGGCTCTTGTGCATTGTTTTAGGGAAACAGTGTAAAAACAACGTAATATAATGAGCGAGTTTCCTCTGATAACATAAATCGCTATTAAAAGAATTGAAGATAACGCTTTCGGTTTATCAAATGTTCTTATGAAAAAAAGTAAGTGTGTAATTTTTCATTTGTTATAAATACAGACGTTATCGATGAGAGAAACGTATACTTTGTTAACTCAATATCTGCTATACGTGAAAAATAGTGTTTTATTATTTTACCTGTTAATATAGTGATTGACATATTTATGCGTTGTTCGTATTTCGTATATTGATTTTGTTAATGCTTCTATTTTGAATTTGACATTAATTGAAAGTCGGTTTTTTTGTCTCCAAGCAATGTTTGGTTAGATATTCCTTTCCATTCTTGTTGACATCATCCCTTAATGACGGTCCAGGAATTTTCTATTGTATTAATATCCGGTTAGACTGCGGACCATTCAATTAATTTGGTGTCTATAAAACTCT